GATTAATCATAAATTCATACACTAAAAAAGTCAAAAAAGTGTTCAACATAACAGGTATTGAGAAGTAGTGACATTTCTGCTTCCGTGTCTGATATCGAAGTTTTCGATGTGTTAAGGAGCCAAAATTTCAATATATTCAATATATATTCAATTAGATAATATATCACGTTGTTCCTATAGATTATTTTATTCCAGAACAGAGAATATTGTAATTTCATACGAGAGTCATTTGATATCTACTCGTAATTACCTTTTACTAGAATTTTAAGTGTTACGGTAAATATTTTGTTCGGGTTTCTGCGGACGTCGGGGCGGACTAGCTTAGTAGTAGCCGACTCGAATGGCGTGGGCCCGTAATCTGACTTTTACCCTACGAGACGGCACGAGACTTGGAGACAGAGCACGGAGTAAATTTCTCTTTAACCTTTCTTTAATCTCGAACAACAGTACTCTAGCGCACGGCTAGTTGGTCTCTTGACTAGCATGAGTCAAGCTCAATGCTAGGAGAGTGGTCTCTAGATCTCTCATATTACAATGATTATAGCGAAGATGGCCTAACATACGCAAAACACTATTGGCTGGAACTATGACGCTAAGTAAAGTGTCCAACTGGTGCTACCAGTAACTTTTAGCACTTTGCAGTTCCTGGGCTTCGCTTGTTTCCAGATAGTGACGCTACTGAATTATAGATAACTTGCAACAGGTAACTTCTAAAAAAACTCTAGCCTAACTCGCTATGTTTATGTTATGACCTGATATGTTAAAGCTTGTTATTTTCAAATATTCCGAATTCTATTCAACAAATTACCAATTTGTTTTCCAAATAATTTTGTTCAATTTTCTTCCGTTACATTACCCTCACCTTAAGAGCAAAGCCTCCTGGCTGCGAAAAAATTAAAAGCAAAAATTGAGCACTTTCGTAGCTATCACGGGACGCAACCGTGTCCAATACCGGTCAAGGCTAATGATAGGCCTCCGGGGGTCGCAATTAACAAATAACACAATGTCTTTACCAATAGTAAGCTATGGGTCCTAAAGGCTTGAGAACCATTGTGATTGACATTACTAATTGTTTCTATAACTTGATTTGTAATAAGAAGTAATAATCGTAAAAATATCCCTAAACTATCTAATTGGGTGAGTCTAGATCATGGTCTCGACTCTGGCCATAATGTTCCTTAGACGAGGAGCACCTTGACATGTAAATACCATTGAAGGGATGTAGATTTCAGTAAAGCAATTTAAGCCCTCGGCAGTGGTATGTTTGCCTTGTTCTTCTTTCTTGCGCTCTTCATACTCGGCAATCAGGGAATAATCAAAGATATTCTCTTCCGGTTCCCAGGTGTTTTGACTTGGCGGGTAATCTTTCCACTTGATGAGATACTGTGTCACACCCTTTCGTTTGCGCTTGTCAATAATCTTTTCTGCGCGGAAAATAGTTTCGTTATCTACCATATTTTCCTCGTCGGTATCTTCTTTCTCGTCGTCGTCCTCATGAGGTTCATTGTCAGGAWCTGGTTCCCCTGTTTCCTCTACCTGATCTTGATCCTGTACAGGSTCAAAACTATCGTCGGGGAGCTCGTGTTCCTTTAGATAGGGCTCGTTGAGTGTATCAACTGGAGGTATTCCAATTGGGCGTGCTGCAGGATCGATATAGCGTTTCAKCCTGTTAATGTGCACACTAGTAGACATGCGACTGTTATCAGGCGTTCGAAGCACAAAATGTACGGGTGAAAGTTGTTTAACTAGACGATAGGGTCCATGCCAGTTGTGAGCTAACTTCTTAGTCAATCCTTTCTTCACATGTGGCGTGTAAACCCAGACCTTGTCTCCGACCCGGCATTGTGGGTTACCTGTGTGCTCGTCGTAGTAGGCCTTCATCTTTTGTTGTGCGCGTTGAATATTCGCTCGTGCGATTTCATGCACTTGCTCGATGCTCTTGACAATCCGTTCTCTGTGTTCAGCAACAGACGCTGACATATTGGTTGGCGGTAATAAGCTAACATCCATTGGTAGGCGTGGCTCTCGTCCATATAGCAGGAAGAACGGCGATTCTCCTGTCACTTCCGATGGTGATACACGGTATGCAAATAAGACCGTCTGCAAATGCAAATCCCAGTCCGATTGCTGTTCGTTAACATACATCGACAAGCTTTGTGCCAAAGTGCCGTTAAAGCGTTCCACCAAACCGTCAGTTTGTGGGTGGTAGGCGGTAGTGTTAACCTTCTCGGTGTTCACTAAGCGACATACTTCTTTCACCAAGGTGGACAAGAAATTAGCTCCACGATCTGAYAAAAGTGTCCTGGGTGCTCCATGTCTTGTGATAATCTGTTCATATAGGAGTCTTGCTATGGTAGCTGCGTCAGCGCTCTCTACACTGAAAGCTTCAGGCCATCTTGTTAGGTAATCACTGAAGACTACTATGAATTTATTTCCACTTCCTTTGCACTTAGGCATKGGCCCCAGAACGTCAACTGCTAGTTTGTCAAATGGTCCTTCAACTACCATTGGTATAAGAGGTCCTTGTGTACGGTGCTTTGGGCTTTTCTTCATTGCGCAGGACACGCAGGACGTCACCCAATGTTCAATGTCAGCGTACATTTTCCTCCAATAATAACGCCATCGTATTTTCTCATAGGTCTTGAATACACCAAGATGTCCACTGGTAACATCATCATGTCCAAAGAGTAAGACTTCGTGCTTTAGCGCGGCGGGTATTACAAGCTGACGTCTAGTGGTACTCCTTCTAGGCGTCCAGAGATAGTAGACCATTTTCATCCAGGCAGTATTCGTCGATAACACGTAATGTAGCCTTACTTTCTGGGAAGATACCTTGCTCGAGGTAATCTATTAGATCACCCAAATCTGTGTCTGCTCTCTGGAATCTCTTTACTTGGTCCGTCTGTAGTCCAGGGGTRTCTAGGCTTGCAATCACTGGTGCATAGGGTCGTCTTGAAAGAGCGTCTGCATTTCCGTGTGAGGTACCTGCACGGTGTAATATCTCAAAATCATATTGTTCCAAATATAATGCCCATCTTGCTAAGCGACCTGCTGGCTCACGTAATTGCATTAGATACTTGAGAGCATGGCGATCCGTGTGAACCTTGAAATGTCTTCCGAATATATACGACCTGAAATGTTTGATCCCGGCAATTACAGCTAAGCATTCCCGATCCGTCACGCTGTAATTCTTCTCTGCCGAGGTAAGAGGGCGTCCTCCATAGGCTATGACAACTTCTCTTCCAAATTTGTTTCTGTCCAAGCACCATGCCGATAGCTTCATTGCTTGCATCTACATAAAGATGGAATGGCTCGTTGAAGTCTGGATAACTCAAAATAGGCGCTTCGACTAGAGCTTGTTTTAACCGGTTGAAAGCTGTTTCATGCGAGTCATCCCAGTGGAACTTAACATTCTTGCTTGTGAGACGATTTAGCGGCCCTGCTATCTTTGCGAAGTCTTTCACAAACCGCCGGTAATAGTTTGCTAGTCCTAAAAAGCTACGAACTTCCTTAGTGGACTGGGGTTTAGGATAATCTTGTACTGCGGCTATCTTCTCAGCGTCAGGCATGATTCCGGTACTTGARACAACATGACCCAAGTACTTCACCGTTTTCCTAGCAAAGTGACACTTTGACGGTTTTAATCGTATCCCCGCBTCCAGAAATCGATCTAGAACTTTGGCTAAATGTTGCAAGTGTTCTTCAAAAGTGTGTGAAAACACTATGACATCATCTAGGTAGATGAGGCAGAWCTCCCAGTTAAGTCCTCGTAGTACATGTTCCATTAGACGCTGAAAGGTGGAKGGGGCGTTACATAGCCCAAACGGCATTACTCGGAATTCCCAGAGTCCATTGCTGGTCACAAATGCCGTCTTTTCCATCGATTCTGGCGACATTGCCACCTGCCAGTAGCCTGATAAGAGGTCGAGAGTAGTAAAATATTTGGCTCCACTAAGCGACGTTAGCGCCTGCTCGATTCTGGGTAGTGGGTAGGCGTCYTTCTTGCTGGCCTGGTTCAACTTCCGGTAGTCCACACAGAATCTGTAAGTCTTGTCAGGTTTCTGCACAAGTACCACAGGCGCRGCCCACGGCGATACAGACGGCTGTATGACACCTCTGTCATACATGTCTTTAACCTGCTGGTCGATTTCCTCCTTCTGTCGATCCGCAACACGGTATGGTCTCAATCTGATTGGTGGATGATCTCCAGTGTTTATATGGTGTCTGATAATATCAGTCTTACCCATTTCGCTGGGTTGTAATGCGAAGGCCTTGCGGTATCGCTGTAAGAAGTCATACAATTGCTGGGCTTGATCTGAATCGAGATGAACATCCTTTAGATCAAGGGGTACTGGAAGGTCTGACAAATCGACTTCTTTTTCCTCGCGGTTATTAGTTAAAGCTTCTGGTTGTCCTTCGCTCAAAACTTCTGTAAATTCACCGAGGGTAGTCTCTCTATAAATTGTCTTAGGCTCGTTAGTAGGGTTCATGAGGCGAAACATAGTATCTCCACCAGGGGTAACGTTCACCATAGCAACAGCGCCATGCAATTGGTAACGCTCYGTTAGTCTTGGATGTCCTTCGATGACTCCAGTTATTTCACGTCCTAACTGTTCGATAAGTTTAGCAGGTATGAGTACTTCAGAATGGGGAGGTATGATCATCGTCTTCTTTGCTCGTATAGCACCAATGTGGGGCTTCCACTCATGTATTTCAGGTGCTAAGTGTAAGGTGTGGTTGACCATATGAATGACAGCTTTATTGGTAGCCAGGAAGTCTCTACCAAGTACTATGTCGAATTCTACTCTTTCCAATACATTCATTGTGACGTCATATGAGTGTCCTTGAATTGTGATGGGCAACTGAACTACGCCCATTATTTGGAGTCGCTGTCCGCTTACAGTCTTTACAGCGCGTGTGTTTTCTCCTGTTAACAGCTTCCTATACTCGTGGGGAAGTTGCATTAGGAATCCATGGTCCATGACAGAAATCTTCGCTCCAGTGTCCACTAACAGCTTTACGGTGCGAAGAGGTCAGGTGTGACTGAAATGTGATCAACTGCACACATTGCCTCCCCTGTGTTTTCCGTCTCTGTGTTTGTTGGGAGCCCTATTTCCGGGAAGTCGCGTGGTTGCTGGCTTGACAGGGTGTCCGTTTCTCCTCCTATACATGCAACTGCTTCGTCTTCATTCTCAGGTGAGTCAGTGATGGCAGCTACTCGTCCAGAGCCTTCACCTCGATTAGACAAAGCTTGTTGATTCCTTTTGTTGCAGTTTATTGCCAGGTGTCCTGCTTTGTGGCAGTAATTACATATTGGTCTCCCATCGGCGGTACGGCGGTTACGTGCAACAGGTGCTTGAGGAGGTGCGTTTAGCTGATTAAATGCTTTCGCGACGTCACTTAGACAACGGGTAACATCCGTCATTAGTTTGTTGGATTGGTTCCCTCCGGTTTGTCCGTCTTTCTGCCATTCCCGGATGTGTCCATGTGGCATTGGGGCTTGGTAAATACCATGAGGATATGGTTGTAGTGGGGCATCATGTGGTCGATTAGGCCCGTCCTGTTGGTACCATGGTGGTGCTCGTTGAGACGAT